ACGATTGTAGTATCAGGCTGCAACATAACAAAATTGAAAAAAGTGAAGGGTGTCTGAATACTTTCCGAATGCACTGAATAAGGGTGACAAGAGACTTGGGTTTTTCATTGAACAATGTGTGGAAATGTTGGCTTCTTGAAAGTGTAGGTAAGAAAAGATACAAGTTCCAATTAAATCAGCAGGCTTATTTTATCTGCTGTTACAATCCTTTGCCTTAATTGGCTTATAGAATGTGTTCTACCTCACTGGGAGGAATTGTGGCAACAGATTTATAAGATGAAAGTGCCTGCTTTATTTAGTGCCATATCTGAAATGTAGATGTGTCTATTATGTTTGCAAGTTACCCATGTATGATATGTGCCCTTGTTAGTAAATAAGACTGATCCCTTGCAAAGGGGATTATTCATCACATTTGCACAGATGAGCAAAGAACAGAAAAAGAACATGAGAAAAGGAGCAACAGTACAACATTTAACGTTCTTAAATTCTTACTAGACAACCCTGTGACCCATTGGGTCATCCTTTGAGAGAAAGGTAGTGCAGTCTGATGTGACCAGAATGAACATTAAATTTTAGGCTGACCATGTTTTGTTTTGTTTTGTTTTGTTTTTTGTCCCAATCCTGGACAATCCCGTGATCATCAAGAGGAGTATAAATAGAAAAGTAATTGTAGTGGCAAACGAACTTCAATAATAAGTCAATTATTTACTGACATAAACAGAATGACCATGGTAAAGTCCTTGGAGTTCTCTGAGCTTGGTTGTTTTCTTGCAAACGTTTGTTACCCAGTAACATCTTGACCACAGGTGGGCAAAAAAGCAGTGAGAGTGGGAGCGAGTTCCAACTTCCTGTCAGCTTCCTCATTGACTTTCCTTGTGGGAAGTTGGCAGGGAGCATCAAAAATCACGATCACGTGACTGCAGGGACGCTGAAACAGCCACAACTTTGCGAATAAAACTGGTGTGAGCATTGTGGAAATATGAATTCCACACAAGTAATGGGTCCTGGGTTTTTTTACGCTTTCTTTAACTTAGCAGATTTTAGCCACCTTGGTTCAAAAATTGTTGTGGTATAATGCCCCATTTGAGCTAACTTGAGGGTACAAATAGACAAACATAAACACAATGAGAGTTTTAGTAATATATAGATTGGCTTAAGCTTCTTAGAGAAAGGAGTGAAAATGAGACATAATTTGCACAGGGAGTATAACATAATCTCTCATGAATGACACATCCGAAAGTTGCTTAGCTCCTGCTGACATTTTGTATGCATGGCTAGGAAGAAGTGGTGTGCTATGGTCAGACAACATAATCATGTATTCTGGGATCCCATGGACAGTGGGAGGGAGACAGTGCTGGTGATAAGAATGCAAATGCTCCAGAATATATGCAAGCCTATTAGCTGTGCCTTTTAAATCGTCAGTAACCAGCTGCAGCAGTTTGCCTCATTTTTAAACTGTCTTAGGGGGTGAGGAACAAATATAGTGCCTCATCCTACTCTTGAATGTGAGAGGTATATGTGTATGCGTACACCTATGTATGCACATCCATACAAATTCATCTCACTTTTTCTCTAAATCTTTAAAGCTGCATGAAAAGGCTTTGCTTGCCTCCCCCTTTTTTTTCCTCAAGAAGCTCTGAGCCCAGCAGTAACAGGAAGATACTGTAACAGGAAGATACAGAATTAAACTGGTGTGCCAGATACCCAATTTGGGGGATAATTACATCTTTTTAAAAAGTTTACCTCTGTTGTTATCTGTAAAAGGCAAAGAACATTTTCCAAGTGGGAAATATGGTCAGTGGATGAACTGTACATGCAAAAGCAATTTTTGCTTCTCTAGTGTCCTCCCACTCAATATTTTGGAAGTTTGATCAACTATAAAGTGTGAGGGAGTAGCAGAAGGTGGTTGGTAGTTGAGAAGAAATTAGCAGAACGTGCTGTTTACCAGGTCCCAGTTTGTATTGCTGACAGGCAACCTCTTCTAGACTTAGACAGTTAACTCTAAATCCAACATACTTTTTATTTGAAATGGTTTTGTATCAAGCATTCTTGTCTTAGATATATGCACATCCTGCTTGGTTTGGGGTGTATGCAGTGAATTGTATTCATTTAAAGAAAGAACCATGGTGAGTTTTTTTCCAACTTAAAGGTACATTTTGTAAACAGAACATCTAATATGGGCATATGTTTGTATTGCTTGTATTGGTTATGCATACTTAGTTCTTGATATGTATTTTGTAATTTTCATACAATGATTATTAGCTTCATCTGCAAAATAATTCCGTGAATCTGAAAAGCTAATTAAATGCAAAGCTTAAGTAAATGAGTAATGAAATCATGCAGGGTGTTGAAGGTTCACAAAGGGCGCAAAGTGTTTGAGTTCCGTTCTCCTTTACCCTCCCTCCATAGCATAGTCCTCATTTGCCTCTTCCATTCTTCTTGCTAGCTATTCATTTAAAAAAGAAAAATC